TGACACAATGGATATATGTATGGATTGTTATAAGAGCCTTCAGTAAAATAAATTAAAAAAAAAAAAAGATGTCACTAAGGTGTGCATGATCCAAGTCATGGTGTTTTTTTTAAATTGTCTTATATACATATGAAAGCTAGAAATGAACAAGAAAGACCACAGAAGAGTCAAGGAAGTGGTATATTTGAATGATTGAGTGGTGGGAGAATATCAAATAGACCATGGACTGCCAGAAGAATAAATAAATCTATTTTGGAAGAAGTACAGCCAGAATGTTTAGAAGTGAAGCTGGTGAGATACTGTCTCATGGACTTTGAACATGTTATCAGGAGGGATCAGTTCCTGAGGGAAAACAAGGAAGAGCCTCAACTGGGCGGATTGACACAGTTGCTGTCAACAATAAACTCAAACATGGCAAGATGGCACGATTCAGTGCCATGCTCTGCCCTGTGGTCCACAGCGTCGCTGAGTCAGAACAACCTTGACAGCCACAGCCTTCTGTTCACGGAGGTCATTCACCTGCGGCAGCGCTGTGACAGCAGCGGTAAGAAGACCCGCCAGGGCTACCGAGTTCCTGTTTAGGTTGATAAAAGCCGTTGGAAAGCGGAGCGGTGGTACTCGCACAACATGGTGAATGTTAATTAATGTCATGGAATTGTACACTTAAAATAGTTTTAAACAAGCACATTTCAGTCAAAGTTAATTTTAATCAATTATTGGGAACATCATACTTCTTTCTTTTAACTTTATGCCCTTTGGGAATAATATCTAATATTTACTCGTGGCATATTAAGGAGCCCTGGAGGTATACTGGCTGCCATCAGGTGGCTCTTAGGCTGCTAAGAGCTGTGTCAGCAGTTTGAAACCATGAGCCTCCTGGCAGGAGAGAAATGACGCTCTCTACCCAGTTCTGTAGGGTTGCTGTGAGTTGGAATTGATTTGATGGCAGTGAATTTGGTTTTTGGTTATTGGCATGTCAGTCTGCAAATTCCAATGCTAAGAGACCATCAACAGCACCTCCACTACTTTCCCATGCAGAGATGCACACATATTGAACTTCAACTTGAAGGCAAGGCTTCTTCCTAAATAAACAACTGACTCATCATCAAGCCTTTTACATCATCAAAATCCATATTTTTGTTTGTCAGGATACGATGTAATAGGAGGAAGATGGCAATACTTCACCAGTTCTCTGTAAAAGCCTAGCAAGGATAATTCTTCAATCATTCAATGCTGAGTGGAGATGCACCTCAGTAACAAACTACAATAGAAATCCTACAAGAGTACAAAGGCTGCCTCACCACACACTTCATTCCTCTACAATGAATTGACGTAGAGTCTGGCTGCAAAGTCATGCACATTTTCCGAGAGGCTTTGAATACTCTTTGGGTCCCACACATCCACACAAACAATGATTTAAACAAAATAAATGTAGAGCACAAGAAGGGCGACTACTCTTGCCAATTCTCCCCGATCTATCCCATAAGAAGAAGGCTGTACAATGATCTGATGATCACCCTGGGGATTTCCATGCTACCATCATTTTCAGGGTCAAAGTGTTAAAAGTATCAAACAGGATCTAATTAGATTTGATGATACATTTCATGGGAATGCCTACAGCTCTGAGTGGACTACAAGGAATAGAGAAACATATTTTCACTTTTTCTTGCTATCTTTGTCATTCCCAAATCAACTTTCAAGAAATCAAAAAAACCAGCTCACCCCACACCCAACAGACCACCTCCTACCGTTCATACGTATCAGACATTCAGGATGATAACTCATTGACCGTCACAAGGCACTTACCTCATTGTCTGATTCCACCAGAACTTGGTCATATTCACTAAGTGCTACTAGAAACATGATTGAAGTGACATTTTCAAAGCAGTGTATCCACTTTCTTCTCTCGGACCTTTGGCCCCCTACGTCCACCATTCTGAAAGTTTAATAATATTCACATTAGTCACTTATACGGAAAAAACCCTCCAAAATAGCTTCACTTACACATTTTAGGAAAACATTCTCTTGAAAGGCAATGGCACCCGAGTCAATTCAATCAATATGTATGCCTATTGAGTATCTGCTCAGTTTGTTTTCTGCTATTTAAATGAGTCTGGGTTACTCAAGATTTACCAGATGTGCATGGAAATTAAAACTGTGAGCAATATTCTGATCTGTATACCTAGCCAAATGGTATGTTTATTTAATCACAGCACTGAAGAGTCAAAAAGAGAATGAGTTTTATTTGTGCTAAGCTAATGGCAAATATTAAACTTTAGTTTCCTTTCCCATAAAATGAGACTGAAGATCTTCATGTATTTGTCAAGGATGCTACTGTATTTGTCAAGAAGTAATATTTAAAGGATCTCAGAGGCTTATGCATTTTGACATGAGTCCCTGTGTGTAAAACTCCAGCTAAATGCAGTAAGCATGTGTGGCTCTTTCTCTCCTCACCCCCCCTAATGGTAATAATCTGGGGCCATGTGGGTTCCTGTGCAATTAGCACTGTGCACAAACAATTAACTAACCAACTGCAAGTCAAAGATACATAGAACACCAAGATATTATACGGTGCCATAAAGGTCTTGTTTTCAACACCTCAAGTCTGTGTTTGTAACAGTCTCAGAGTATTGTTCAGAAATCAAACACCAGACCTGAATTCATCTGAGTGATAATGTACATAAGAAAATATCTAGCACCGTGCCTGGTGCTCAGCCCATCAGGTTCTTCAGCATGTTGAATCCATTCTTGAGTGAAATGTACACAGCGTTTGTAGGATAAAATGCTTTCAGAGTCAACACTGGGCTGGGTGAAAAAGACCGAGTGCTGGGCTCTTTAAGCGTCCTGGTGTTTTACTGCCCTATTGCCTTAAGCCTAAAGACCAAACTCAAGGATTGTCCAGTGACTGCTGCTGCTGCTGCTGTAACTTTCAAGGAGCACCACCGATATCTGAGAGGCAGAAACATGGTTCTAGGAAGACCAAACCTCAAAACCCAACACACGGTCATTGACGCACAGTGATCCGATACGAGTGGGTCGAACTGTCCCTGTGGGTTTCTGAGACTGTACCTCTTTACACGAGCAAGATGCCACATCTTTTCCCCAAGGAGCAGCTGGTGGTTTCAAACTACTGACTTTGAGGTCAGAAGCTCAACCCATAAGCCAGTACCTCAACAGGGCTCTTAGGAAGAGCCAAGGACATCAAAACTAGAGTGTCCTCTGATTTTGAGAAACACTCAAATGGTAGTGCCTTTCTGATGCCGTCATGTGGATAGCATGCTACTTGTTTATGTGACATCCTCACCCAGTGAGTTCCTGTCTCACAAAGCCATGTAAGGGGCTTTTGATGGCGGGGCAAACGAATTCCTTTAAGTAACCATTTTACTGCAATGGTGAAAAATGCCCTTCCAAAGCTAATGTACACAGTGCGGAATACCAGGAGGTGTAATTGCAAGCTGGTTTCAGAATTCACTAACTGTGAAGTTATGAGGAAATACGCAGTCTCATGAAATGTTAAGTGCTTTCTGCACTTACTTATAATATGGTAGTAAGAGGAAGGAAATTTGGATGCCTCAAAATAAAGCCCGTTAAATGCTATGCATTCAAAATTTGAGTGTTAAAAAATGCTAAGGGACCAGTGAAGGTCACCTAAGCCAACCATTTTACAGGTGAAAAAACAGCTCAGAGACAGTGCCAGAATGTTACCCACTGTTCAGTCATGTCTGTTTGAGCTGTGTATGACAGCCAGGTGCGGGGACTGACCAGAATGAAACGTACAGTGCTTTGGCAGGGAGTGACAGATGGCTTGCTAACCCAAGCTGTCTGGTGACTCAACTCCTACTTCCTCAGTATGGTGTGCAGCCTTCTTCAATGGGCTGGGCTCTCCTGAGGAACTCAGTCCTTTGTACTGAGAGACTTATTCATACTGGCATATCCTTAGAGATAACAGGGATTCTCAAAGCACAGGTTGTTTGTAGTCCAACTAAAAATGCAATTGAGTGTGTAATAAAAGAATAAGTGGAAGTATGTCTACATTGCTTTAGTTTTCCTAGGTTAAAAATATGTATGGCCTGCTGTTGCTGAAGCATTACTCAGAAACAACAGCAGCAGGGAAAAGAGGAGGGCATGTCTTTCATTCTGCTGTGCTACATGCAGGTAGACTAGAAGAATGAACACATTTTCACAGTTGTGTGAACGACACTAAAACAACTTATATTACACAAAAAACCACATTTTTCATTGCTACTCAGAAATTGTGTCTGACTCTCCCCAAAGAGTAGGAAGAGAAGTCAACAAGACACACACAATTTCTACTGTTTACGGGCCATATGATCATTCATATCTTACATAATTATAAACATATAGACATCATCCTAGTAGATAAAATGATTTTTTAAAATTCAGATTGTGTGGACCAATGTTCCAATAACTAATATTGCTCACCTAACAGCAAACTAAGATTTTGTTACTCTTGGCGACTTAAACTGAAATCCACCTCTACATCTCTCCTTTTGTGTGTCAGATGCCAGGAGTTGGTATGGACACTGCTAGTTCACAACGACAACAATGATGGACATAAAGGCTATGTTGCTTTGATACTTAATATTTTTGCATATGGTTTCAAAATTTGCAGAGATTACTAAATGCATTCAAGGCAAAGGGGCTAGAAAAGTATAGGTTTTATGGACTTGGTTACTACCTGAAAATGACACTTTGTAAGTCAAAGGGGTACTCGATGATCCCTGTGGTGGGGACTCGCACTCTAAGCACGTCTTGTTGAGTAGGCAGATATGCAGGGTCGGCTACGCGGTCCAAGTCATTAAGATAGCTACAGAGGGAAGACACAATAAAAATGTTAGTAATACCATCATATCAAATCTATTTATACCAGTTGTTGTCAACCTTCCTATTGCCGTGACCCTTTAATACAGTTCCTCATGTTGTGGTGAGCCCCAATCATAAAATTATTTTCGTTGCTATTTCATAACTGTAATTTTGCTACTATTGTGAATCGTATTGTAAATATCTGCTATGTAAGGATGCATTTTCATTGTTACAAATTGAACATGATTAAAGCATAGTGATTAATCACAAAAACAATATGTAATTATACATTGTGAAATATTTACTTCTAATTACAAATAAATGAAATTTTGTCTAGAACCATGGTGTAGCATGGGTAACAGTCTTAATGTAACAACAGTAAACTACATTGCTACATTTTGCGACAGTATGCATAAAAAGCCAATGTCAGTGTGAAGGCGGTTGAGACAGCTTCTCTCTCACCAGATCAGAAACTGTCGGGGCGGTGTTTGCAAGAGCACCAGGACGATCAAGCTCCAGAACAAGTCTACTTCTGTATTTAGACTCGATAACCAACAAGCTGGAAAACCCTGGTTCACAAAGATATGTGGTTGGAAATGGAAGAAAAAGGCACAACACAGTCTCAGACAGAACAGGAGATGACTGCAAACGCTTGATCCAGGATTTTGTAACTGGCATTGTAGAGAAATCAGTTCTCACTGCATCGCTGTTAATAAGCTCAATGAACTCCTCTTGTGCTGTCTCAGGAACATGTTCAACTTTGACTGTGAATGGGCTACTGTCAAGTGCAAATGGGGTGTCAGGTAGTTTGGACAGTACGATTAAATTTCATCTGCAAGCATGTGCAAGTGTTCTTTCACAGAAATTACCATTGTAATCCTTTTGTCTGGTTCAATGTCATGTTCCTCAAAGAAAGTAGATAACATGCACATTTTATTTTCATCCAACTTTTTTTTTTTTTTGCCAAAGCTGAAGTTTCATTTGGAATGATTGGATCTTCTCAGACAAATCAAGGCATGTTGCATTTGGTCCTTGCAGTAATCAATTTAACTCATTCAAGATGGCAAAGATGGCAACCAAGTAAGTTATTTTCTGCAGTTCACTTTTATTGTTGAAAAGTGCTTCAAACTGCGGTCTTGCTTTCTGATTAAAAAACATTTTGAGTTCATCATGAAGCTCGCATTGTTTGGCACATCCAACTTGTTGCACAGTTGCGAAAACAGTCGACTGTTTAAAGTGCTCACCTTTACAAACTTGACGGAACTTATGACACTTTTTATTACTTCCCATAACTCTTGTGGCAGCGTCTTCATTGCTAATATTTGCCGATGAATCATACAGTGAGTTCTGATGACTTTTGGTGACTCGTTCAGTACCAAACGTTGAAATCCAGATCGACATCTTAGCATAGCTGGAGCACCATCTGGGCAAAAACCACAAGCCTTTTCCCAAAAGATCTTATGCGCTTTCAGAAATAAACCAACTGTATCAAATACATCACATGCAATTGTCGTTTCAAGAGGTTTGCAAAAAAGAAACTCATCTCCAAGTTGCCATAATTAATATACCTCAGGTAAACTAGTAACTGAAGAGTTTGCAATGTCTGTAGATTCATCAAGCCGGATGCTAAATATTGGAAGTGGAGCAGATTTAATTTCCTGGATTAGCTGATCAACAATATCAGCAGACATGTCATCTATTCTTCTGCGGACAGTGTCGGTAGATAAGGAAATTGCACTCAATTTCGTAATAAATTCATCCCCGAACATAACTCGAACAATGTCTTCAGCCGCTGGCTGGCAACAGTAAATCCTCAGCAATGGTGTGAGGTTTCGTAGCTCTGGTGATTCTGAGTGCCACCAAATAGGAAGCTTCAACGGCTGCTACGTTTTGTTTGTGGTACTTGCCACCAGTGTCAACTTTCTTGAGTCCATCAGCTTTGCTTCTAAAATAGTTGGTATCCTTGCTGGACAAAGGTCAGATGTTTGCTATCAAAATGACGTTTTAGTTTGTTTAGCCTCATAGATTCAGCTGATAGAACTTCACAACAAATAACACATTGCAGTTTCTCAATTCCTGCTGTAATTATTGAGGTAAAGCCATACTGTAAAAAATCCTCACTATATTTTCTTTTCTTAATATATAACAATAGCTTTAATAATACAAAAGACGATACATGGCATAGTTCACTCAATACAGTTCATTAAAGTTTCTTATGATTTACCATTCTTTGTGTTGTTGTTTTTACATACCTGTTACTATCACATGGGGCAGTATTCACATCAACCACAGCTGAATATAAAAAGACTGATCAGCATCCAGATTAAGTTCCCATGGTACAGATTTTTTTGTGTGCAGTAGTTGATGAGTTTAGTACATGATTTTACATTTACCCAGTAATTATAATTCATGAAGTGTCTATTTACCTCCAATACTGCTGCTTTCAACAGAGCAGCTACTTTCTACACAGTAGCTGCTCTCTACACATGTGCAACTCGTCCACATAAGTACATTATGTCACCAATCCTGTCACATACACCTGTATTTGTACAGGGTGTATGTGATGAGGTTGGAGAGATGATGTCATCACACCGGGTACTCATATGTGGGCATATCTGCATGTGGGCGGACCCACCTGGAGATGGATGGATAGAGTGGTGTCTCCATTCCCAAGACTATCGGAAATATGTGTTTTCCGATGGTTTTAGGCAACTCCTGTGAAAGGGTTGTTCGAGCCCTAAAGGGGTTGCGACTCACAGGCTGAAAACTGCTGATTTATACACAGGGATGGGAGAAAGTGTCAAGGAGAGAAATGAAGGGTAAAAAAGAAAAATTTCATAAGGTAGTGGAGAAGTCTGAGAAGTCGATAAAGTCAACCCTTCATTATTCAGAATAAGGTTATACTTTAGTGGATTACTCAGTCACCATTAATTCTTGTTTCCTTTCTTACTATCAATTAGAATTTATACAATGAAGGCTAGGGTGAGAAGAAGAATTAAAATTAGTCTCCTCCCATTTTCTTTGTTAGCATGTATAGTAGGTAAAGCAAGATGTTAAAATATTGTGAAAATCTCGAGTTGCGGACTGGAAAACACTCTTAAAGGCCAACAATCCTTGAACTAACTACAAGCTTTTCTTTCTTGTTGTGTTTTAATTTGTTCTTTGCCAGTGGTTTGTTGTTGCTGTTGTTGTGTTATACATTGTTGCTTGGTTTTGCTCTGTCTTGTTTTTGTTCATGTTATTATCTCCACAGGTCTGTCTAAATAAGATAGGCTAGATGAACAATCTGGAGGAGAAAACGGGACCGACGGGACATGGGAGAAGGGAAGGTGGGGGGAACGGAAGTGGTGTTAACAAAACCAGGGACAAGGGAATAACAAGTGATCCAAACTGGTGGTGAGGTGAGTGTGGGAGGCCTGGTAGGGCATGATTAAGGTTAATGTAACAAAGAGGAATTGCTGAAACCCTGGTGGGGACTGAGCATGATAGTGGGACAGGAGGAAAGTCAAGGGAAA